AAGTAAATCTGTTTACAGTTCTGTTTCATATGGGTGTTGAGAGATGTATCCATATATCTCTTAATTTTGCTCTCAAAGTGCACCAGATTGATGTTTTAACTTCCATATTTCAAAACAAATCTTCCCGGGGGAGCATGCCCCCGGACCCCCCTAGAGGAGGTTAGGTCCACGGTGTTTACATGCTTATTTATACAACATGTGTGCTTATGCTAACATCATACAACAAAAGTTGGTTCCGTGTTGTGTGTAGTGAGAACGCGCTAGAGTGAGGGGGGGCCCCTCAAGCCAAAGCTCGCTTAGGGCCCCCAAAAGTCTAGGGCCGGCCCTGAATACGGTTTATATAATACATAACATATTAGTATTATTATAGTAAAAGGGCTCGCTTTGGCAAAATCGAATTTTGAGAACATACATTCGTAATTTACCTCGTTTAAAGCACTTTTGTTGTAATACTATGGATTTATTTAACACTACTAGCCGGGCCCGACTGTAGGTATAACAGCTCAGATGTAAGTGTGCAAAATAAGTTTTCTTAAAAAGGTCCAGTTTCTCGGACATTGCTATAAATTAGCTAAGAGATGGGCTCTCTACTTCAGGTTGCCTTGATACAAACCGTCTGATAAAGAGATATCCGTCCATAGCTGGGCTTAAGTTCTTTTGTTGATCATTATGAACAAATCCAAAAAAAATGTGAGATTTCCTGCAGTGATACAAAAGGCCACATGTACCGGATAGCCTCGATAAGATACTGAAACACGGCCTCTTTCCTGTCCTGTCTTCTTTAGGATCTAAAACATTACACAGGATCAATTCGCTGTTGCCGTGAGCACTACTGATGTTTTTCTTCAGTTCTGAAACTGAAGAGCACCCCACAATGGGACACAGCTGACATTCTGTGTGTATTAGCCTCATGTGGTCGCCAGCACACAGGCGAACACCAGAGCTCAGCAGCGGCCCGGCACATAGTTTGGACGCAGGCCCATGGAGCCTTGGTGAGAGGGGAGAAGGGAGAGAGGGGGTGGGGGTTCATACAGTCACCGCTGCAAGCCAGACCTACAAGAGCTGAACACAGCGTTGTGTTTGTGAAGATGGGTGTGAACATAAGAGTTATGTGTGTGCATGTGTGTCTGAAATACAAAAAATGTGTGTGTGTGTGTGTGTGTGTGTGTGTGTGTGTGTGTGTGTGTGTGTGTGTGTGTGTGTGTGTGTGTGTGTGTGTGTGTGTGTGTGTGTGTGTGTGTGTGTGTGTGTGTGTGTGTGTGTGTGTGTACTGTATGTGTGTGTTAAGGGGGTCCTTGGCTATCTGGCAGGGTCATTAGCTGAGGGTAGTATCTGCAAAAAGGAGGTCTGCTGCAGTCAGGACTCCTGCTGCTATTTGGCAAATGAAAAAATACCAGAGAGAAACAGAAGAAAAGACGGAGGACACAGAAAAAGACAGGAGAGAAGAATCTAGGTTTACTAGTTTGTTAAGGGAGTTAAATCACTAGTGTTTAAGGACAAATAAATATATTTGCAGCCCTGAATACAGATAACTTCTTTCTTTCTTTCTTTCTTTATCTTCTTTCCTTTCTTCCTGCAGCAGAACCACCGGATACAGGCTGCACTAGTTTTCTATACTATTTTACAATTGTTACAGGCTGTTTTTGTTGCATTACTGTAACAGTGTTGTAAAATAACACCACGCACTATTTACTTTTTTCTATTCACTACTGGGTTCTTCTTCACTGCTTTTACCTTTTTGGACGTGTACTTATTTGTATTTGAATTCTTCTATCTGCACTGTTCACTCTGCTGTAACCACATAAATGTCCCTGCTGTGGGACATTTTCCTGATTCTCATTCGGAAATATATCCCAGTTCTTTCTATTGCTTCAGTATATGTTTCCTCCTCCTCCTCCTCCTCCTCCCCTGGCCTTTTCCATACTGTCTGTGCAGATGGTGCAGAGCTCCTGTCGGGCGACCGCCTGTAGGATCGCTGCCTTCCACTGCCCACTCTTCTCATGCATCGGCCCGTTGTGTTTGTACTGCAGTGTAAAAGGGGACTTTTTAGTCCCCTTTTAGACTGGGGGGACTAAAAAGGGGAGGGGAACCCCCCTCCCTCATACTCACTATTTGACAAAAAAACGGGCTCAGGAGAGGGGAACAAGCAAAAAAGATTCTTGGCTCCGGCCTATGTCAGAGTCGATCCCTACCAAACACACAACAAGCCCCGCTGGGGAGATGGGATGCATGGGCCAGAGAAAACTCACTACATGAGTAATGGCCCGAAATCCAATCAGCTCAGCCAAACAAGTGGTGTCCAATTTGTGAAACAAAACAGACCAATTGCAAACTGCAGAACAAATGTCATGCGTCAGGTTTTCTCGTTGTGCAATCGTTGCCGGAGTAGTTTCATGAATCTGTTTATGATTAGGTTTCTTTCGTTTGTTCTGTGTTGTTGAAGTTGTCTTGTCTTTAGAGAGTTCCCACTCCACCCCAAAAGTCACAAATCATGCTCAATAAAGATCGACTGAACTGTCCATCCAGAGATTTTCCCTGAGAAAACAGCAATAATCATCCTTAGAGACCAAACACTGGTCCTTTTTCTTCTAAAAACAGAGCATCTGGTTCAAATTTATAAAAATGTTCTGGCTTTCCTTCAAAAAACAATTATTTTGACAGGGATTCACAGTGTGTCCCAGAAGGAACGAGGAGCTTATCTTGTAATGATATGCCAGAATGCCAAGCAGAAGCTAATCTTCATCATGTTTTGCAGTAATTGGATCCTAAAAATGGCTATTGAACCGGCCACGTTTCGAGAGAAATGCCTCTTCCAGTAAACTGTTTATCACAGCGCTCAAGACGGATCATTGGAGGAGCTGTGGCTAATCAGTGGATGCTCCATCCAGCCTTGTTAACATTCATGTGGGGAGAAGTGAAGAGCAGAAAGGGAAAAAGGGAGGTATGAGAGAAGCAGAACAAACACGATAGAAGGTACTAGTGGGAAAAATATTTTGAGTTTGACACAAAAGGCTCATTTTAAAAAAGGACTGCCACCAAAGTTATGGTTCATTATTCTCAAACAGACACATGTAAGTGGATCTCTGACCTGTTTGCTCTTGGGTTGCAGAGGGATCCGGAGCAGTCTGTCTGCAGTCTGGTGCAGAAAGTGGGGGTCCAGCACCCTTATTTTACTGTAGTCACCCAACCAGATCTGAGGAGGGCTCCTCCAAAAGCCTTTTCTGACCTGGAAATCACGCATAAACATTGATAAAAGATGAGACATGGGATGTTGTGAAATTAAAATAAACAGAAAGGACAGAACATGAGAAAAAACGTAGCTATTTTTAGTTGGCCCACAGTTCATTTGCACAAACAAAGATGCAATTGAACCTGTGACTCCCTCATGTCTGGAGGCAACTAAATCGATGTGCAAATGAGCCGGTAATGACCTGGCAACTATTAGCAGAAGGAGGCCTTGGGTGCCCCGAGCAACAGAGTGAAGGATGTCTGTAATGGAAACTACATTTATAGCTGAAGGGCACTGGCATCACTGAGGGTCGAACCTTTTAAGTATTTGCTTCATGATGTGGATGGCTGGCAAGGGCTGGGAAAGAAGCTAAACGGAGAGTGTTTATTTGATGCCGAGAGGGAGAGTAAGAAAGTGAGACAAAGTAAGAAGGAAAGCATGTGTGTGTTTGTGTGTGTTTGTGTGAGATAGAGTGCATTCTCACACATAGCCTGTACCCTCTTCTCGTTATAGAGGATCTCTTTGAACCAGCGGAGATCCTGCGGTTTGAAAGGCACCAGGACCATGAGCGTGCCGGGCTCGTTGTTCAGACCCGGGTTGTACGAGGCCGACTCAGGGTAGAAAAACCTCATAGTGGTCTTATTCCCCACGTCCTCCTCGTATCCTCTCACTGGGGCATTGTTCAACCTGAGGCAGGGACACGATACTATATTTAGAGACAATAATTTTCAGGTTTGTTTTGATTTCCATTTTTTTGTAATCATCCATACAGATTGTTTAAACCGCATCGGGACCACTAAAAGGTTGTTGAGCATGTCCATCCTGCCTCATGCTAACTCTGCCTTCGCCACATCTCTTTCGGGCAACACATCTCTGGCTTAACATCATATATCTGGATAAGCAGTGTGAGCTTCCTAGAGCTTTCCAAATAAACTTTTAACTTTGTGTAAACAATTTCACATACGAGTCCAACCAAAAGTTTACACAGAAATAGAGAGACGTAGTGAAACCACAACTTTCGGGTTATGTTTTACAGATAAACCTCATTCAAACAACCGTTGACATCTAAAATCAAACAAAATTACTGAACAAAACAGCCCTGGAACGGAGCCTTTTTGAACAGTAACCTACACCGTGTGGGACACTTCATAGAATTCAGTCATGTTGATGGAAGTATGCTATTGCTAACAAAGTAATTGTTGGATTAGAATATTAGGAACATGCCTCATTTGGTCAAAAGACTGATAAATTAAAAGAAGAAGCTAGCGGTTTAGTTAGCCAACTAACAATCTAAAGCAAAAAAACTACAAAATAATACAAAATCAATTATCTTATCTTATCAAACAAGTGTGATTCACAGAAGCCACAGTTTCATCAGTTCATGTTTGTTCCATTCCTGCTTGATAAGAAATATGACACACAAACTAAATATTTGTTAAGACAGCAATCAGGATGTTTTTCCAGTTCTTCTGTCCCTTATAGATAAAACCTGTCACTTTGCAGAGTCAACTCTCAATCAAAAACAGGTTTTTAAATGGCAGTAAAAAATAAGGGCTGCAAAAAGGTCACCTAACTCACAGAGTGTTCAGGCATTTAAAAGTCTGGGAACATCCCTGCTCTACTTAAAAGGATATTAAAAAGGCATTTTTGCTTTTATTTGACAGCAAAGGAACAAAGTGAAAATGGGCGGGGTGGGGGGAGAGAGAGGAGTATGACATGCAGCAAAAATCCCAAGGTTGAAATCGATACTGGGGACGTGGCAGTGATGTGGCATGCGCTGAAACCTCTCGGGTACGAAGGCACTTCTGCTTTGTTATTCTTTACAAATAATTGAATCTTCCAAAAAACAATTCATAACTTATTCCATGATCAATTAATGAGCCCAAAAGAACAGAATGCGTGTTGGAAAACTTAAAGTCTGTGTTTCTATGACAGACAGAAAAAAAACACAGTAACGTCAAACTCTAACGCAAGCTTTGAATGACAGTAACCTTGCTCTATTGGCCAGGGAATGGTTAGCTTCTGAGAGAGGGATAGATGTGAGAGAAGAGGAGGGGGGAGGGGGGATGACGGGGAGAGAAAAATGCATTGTGGCTAGGCCAAATTCGGGCTGTTTGAAAGAGGCTTATAAAAACTCAGAATGCATGTGTTCATTCCAAGGCTGTAAAGTCAGATTTGCAGAGTGCCTTTGTCTCTGAGTAAACTAAACACTTTCTATTCCCCATTTAAAAGAACTGAAGAAAAGTTTACTAATTGCTAAGAGGACAGCTCTGTGTCAGGGTCACACAGTCGGATGCAGTCCGTCATTAGTGTACAGCAGAGTGAATTCATACCCTGCTTTAAGAGGCGGGGAAAATCTGCACTTTCACTATTCATTTTTCATCTAACAAGGATCCATCTGTTCTTAATGTATAAGAACAATCTTGAATCAAGAGGGTGGCTATTGATTAAAAATGTTATAATTTGTTCTCACGGTTCAGATATTGTAAGATAAAAGAATGTTAAACATTCTTCTCCCAAAAACAATTACCTTGAAGTGGGATTAAAAATGCATCAAAAGTTTATGAATCTTACAAAACTCATAACTTTCTTTCTATCGGCAGCATGTCAAATTGCTAGTAAATGTAATTATAACTAAACATTGTTTCCTTTGTTCCTTGGTCATTAAAACCAACACAATTTTTTTAAATTATTAAATATTTGAGCTATTAAAAGGGAAAGCCGATTTGAAACGAATTGTGTAGTTCAAGTGAATATATCTGCATTTTTCATGTTGTTCTGAGTTTGTCTCTCCATGGTTTATTCCACTTATTGTAAGTCACTATGGATAGAAGCATGACCTAAATGACATTTAATGTAATGTCAAATGTGATTGATCTGATCCCTTCCTTCCTGCTTACCGAATCACCACGTCATATTTGTTGATGATGCCTCCCAACGAGCTGTTTTTGATGGCAAAGCCGTTGCCCACGACTACACAGGTTCTGCATTCCAGGCTGAGGAGAAAAACACCACATGCAAACATGAGTCTTTTCAAGTTTTAGTACAATAAAAGACTAAATGTGGGGAGACATACTGTAACTGACAACATATTTATCAGCAGAGAAATAGCGCCCGAAGGTGCTTTCTTGACCATAATGAGGGACAGTTATGCGGCTAAGCAGCTACCCATAAGTACCTATAATCACAGCAATGAAGTCATGCAGCAGGACTGACAAAGTGTAACAGGATGTTACAGAACCACAGCTGGAAAACATCTTCAACCAATCATAACTTTTGTGAGAAATATTCCTGTTGTAGTGTCAATTACCTGTGGAAACTACGGCACTAATCCTGGATTTTTAAATGTATTAGAACATAACTTCTGTAATATAGGAGTTTTAGGCTGAAGTTCGCTCAAACTTACTTTTCAATGTTTTCTGGCACCTGATAATTTGCGGTAACAGCAAGGATTTGCAGTAGCAGTAGTTCTGAGTGGGAAAGTTAGAAAAAGAGAAGTTGAAATAGCTGATTGAAATCTTTAAAACAGATGTTCATTGGCAACAAAAAGAAAGTTAAAAACTTCCTAGTAGTACTTCAACTGTGAATATCTTTAATCTCGTTTCCTTACTGATTTGAGCATGACCAAAGTGCTGTATAAAGATTGTGTGATCTTTTTGATCAAAGCCCTGATAGCAGTAAGGCATCAGTGCAAACTATGGTCATAAGCCCATTCTGTTGGGGAACCGGGATGTGTGTGCTGTAAAGATAAAGACTTTTTTGTAGATCTGTAAACCCAATCTGCAAAGGCGTTCAAAAAAAGTATAGAACATACGCGTTCATACAACAAGCAGGATGATACATGTGCCGAGTAAAGGAAGCATAACATAAAGTCAACATACCACTGCCCTTAATGCCATAAGGTAATGCCAGCTTTGACAGATGCTCCCTCCAGAAGAAATCCTCCAGCTTCAGAAAGAGCCGAGTCTGTCTGCTAATGCTGCAGGAAAAAAAATGTCAGAGCAGGAATTTCAACATGATACTGCAGTGCACAGGGCTTCACTGTATAAATTATATCACACGATGGTTTGCGGTGGAGGATATGAATGAGGCGTAAGACAGCGAGGATGGAGAAAAGCTATAACAACTTTGAAACCACACAATGGACAGACCGACAGAGCCATGTTCATATTGGCACATGGAAAGCTTGTCTTGACTTTCCCAAATGTTCCTGTTATCTATTAAGCAGGTAAAGCAGACTCATTGTAAATAAACCAGCCATGTACATGATGTCATTCAAGCGTGATTTCCCTCATTAAAATCTCCTGTTGGCATTTCTCTCGCGGGGAGAGGGAGAAAAAACAATAACATTCAGAGAGCCTGTGGAGTGAGACAAATACGGCAGGTTGTAATATGTGAAACAGTTGCTTTCCTGACTTCAGACTCCAGCTGTTTATGACCTACTGTCTTTGACTGCGATTCTATCAGACAGTTATTACCCTCGTGTGCCAGCTAGCTCTTCGCAGGGGATCAGCATAAATCTCCGGGGAACGGTCTAATTAGAGAAATGTCAGTACGATTGCCTTAAAGCCCTCGTTGTGCCTGTAATGACTGATGTGAAAACCAGAGAACAACCAGCCACTGGCTTTATGTGAGAATGCAAATCATGTTCTTTAACTGGGGCAAACACAGGGGATTACGAATCTTGACTGTTTAAAAAGGTCAAAGGGCGGGCAGTGCCAGGTCTAATGAGCTAAAGAAAATAAACAGTGACCTCTGAGGAGGCTTGGATAAACCAGATGGAGAGCATACCACTGTTTTGTAGCAGAACAGAGCCAGAAAAAAAGGCCAACACTACCTTTTCAGCTGAATAAACTGATAGAGAGAGCAAGAGAAGCGGCTCGGGACTGTGGAACAATGATTGCTTAATGAGGCAGAACCTGAGGAGCACAAACAAACTATTGTCTGGCCAACCTTATCAAGAGCTAATTCGGAGCAAACTTGGATTTTATATTATCTCTTCCCTCAGCAATTTCATCAAACATTGATCAACTTGAGTAACTGAAATGTACCTGACTCAGAGGAAAAAGTTTTTTCATACTGTAATAAGTCCTGTTCTTTCTCACTGCTTTTCCTTCATGACTAGTAAAAAGCAGGCCTAACAGTTCTTAGACTCCTGGCACTTTATGCTCAAATAAAAATACTGGCATACCTTCCTCCCCTTAATAAGCCATCCACTCCCTCCAGTTTGTAAAAAAACAAAAAAAAACACAGACATGCCATTACTCACTTAAAGTTAAGGCTCTCCCACTTCTTTTGGGATAGCCAGCCAGCACACAGCGACTTGCTACTGTTCGGAGACTTGTTGGTGCCTCCGTAGCTGAAAGACAGATAATCACCACAACTGGCATGAACGTTGCTGCTGAATCCATAAAAACACAGAAACTGGGCCCAGAACATTTAAAAAGTGCAAGAATGGGCAAGTGTGAGGGTTTAAATTGAACAGCAGCAAAGACTACCATATGTGGGTAAACTTTAAATGACTCAGCACTAAACAGACCTCATGAGATTACTTTTTTCTTTACCAGAAATGGGCATTTCTGTAATTTTGTGACCTCAATACGGAGAGGAACCAGGAAAAAAAGACATGCTTGTGTTTGTGTGTGTGTAATTACCTCTGAAGTATGGCAAAGGAGTAGTAGTATGTGACAAAGGAGATGAAGAAGAAGAGCACTGGGAGAAGCCTAAGGCACCATGCTGGATTCAAAGAAGACAAAAACAGAGGTTTAAAAAAACTGAGTTATCAAATAAAGCATACAACCAATAGCTTAGTTCAAAGTGAGATGTATTTGATGTTACAGCAGTTGATGTAGAGATTGCAGTAAGGAATGACCCAATGATAGAAAATAAACCACTCTAATTGTGATTCATTTAACAACACATTCAACTTTTTGAAATAAGATACGGCTCAAGAGTTGGCGTCCCAATGAACACAGATTACCAGAACCAGAATGGTTACTGAAAGATCAAACTGAAACTGTTTTCTGCATGTGCCACTTGTTATTTAGAGCTAACGGCACAGGTCTACAGGAAACGAAATTTGTACAGATGCAAAATGTTTGAATGGAAACGGAAAAGGAAGATTCAAATCAACTTTAAATGAATGGGCCCAGCATCGCAGCAACTGTGAAATTGAGACTGTACATTTAACTCATCCTACTTAAGGAGAAATAAATACCTGCCAAACCAACAAAAGACACGATATCATTACACTCTACGAGCGTCTGTACTGGGTTAACATACTGCCATTTATAAAGGTGATATTTTCATCTGTCTGTCCAGGGACTAAAGGCAAGGCAAGTTTATTTATATAGCACCTTTCAACACAAGGCAATTCAATGTGCTTTACAAAAATGAAAGACATTCAGACAAAGGCCTTTCAAAACCGTCATTAAAAAGAAAAGATAATAAAAGAAACATTAAAATAAAAAATACATTAACAAAAAGTACATGAATAAAAAGTTACAGTGCAGTTTAAGAGATAAAAAAAAAGATAAAATCAAGTTACTGTCCCGGTAAAAATACATTAAAATAACTTTTTTTGAATGATGACAGATCCGTTTTATTAAGTACAGGGAATTTCATGCTTTTTTAAAATCTATTTTCATAAATAGCTTCTTGTAAAATCCTCTCCAACCTGTCCGTCTAGTTTCCATGACCATGAATACACTTTCTAAAATATGAATAGATAAAATAATTTAATCTGGGAGTTCATGTTCTAAGTGTTATGAAAATGAAAAGATTGAAACCACCTATGTATTGTCAAATGTAGCCTAGTGTAAAGATGACTGTAGGTGTTTCTTTTTTGTGTGCGGAGGAGACACAAAATATCTCTTAAGTATACAAACTAGTACATTCCAAATAAGTAAAGACAGTGAGATTTAGTGACAGGACATTTTTTATGCTACAACAAAATACAGAAAACTTCAGATCAACTGCCGCTCCAGGCTTTGTTGAAAATGAATCACTGTGGGTGTTTTTTGTTTGCAGCATAAAGGCAAGAGCCCTGCTTTACATTAAGAGTGAATAACCTAAAAAACATCAACTTTATGTTTTTTTTCCCACAACAATTTAGGCAAAACATTAAACAAGACATGAGGTTTTTTTTTGCGTAGATGTTGTGTGGCTACGCAACAAAACTGATGTTGCAAACTGTAAGTGCAGTGTCATTCTGCTCTGATGATTTTGGATTATCTTAATCTGTGACCTCAATCGTCACAGATACATTTCTGCTGATTTTAAAGACGTGATAAAGGTAACAGATGGTACTGATCACAGGTAACCAATGCATATAACAACAAGTAATAGTGGTTCAAAGAAATCTGAGCATTAATCGGTGAAAACATTTGCATTTTGGTCCTTGATTCCTTAAATTACACATATATCAGACGAGTGTTTTACTGAATATCAAGTGAGAGAAATAGTAATGAAACATCTACTTCAAAAACACCCACGGCAAAAGTTCTTACTTTTAGTTGCCTTCTGGGACATCTTCATGTGCTCCTTAGTCCTCTCCTGTCTACACAGTGCATGATTATCCTGGGGAACAGGTACAGAAAGCACAAACACCAAATGTATAAGCACCTCCTTCAAACACTGCTGTGTGTTGAAGAGGTTTTGGGTAAAGAACCATAACACAAAACACACAATGGAGCTGTCCTCTTAGAGTCATGAAGTCAAATAACATGCAATGTTTGTTCTCATAGCAAGACTCAGATACAATCGAGTGGCGGAGAACAAATCAATCAAACGTAAAAAGACGTGTGCAAAAGAGAGAGAGACAGGAGGCAGCATATGAAGGCCGATCATTTTAAGAGGATCATACTAGACTTTGATACTTGCTCCCTGAACTGGGGGCTGATCCAACTGCATCACTTTGGCTTTACCACTGCTGCTTGGGATAGGTCAGATTACAGTTAAAACCAGATTAAAGTGCGTGTACTGTTACATGCACATGTCTACTTACTGTACCATGCACTTGTTATTCACAGTCTTTCTGATTTAGGGACCATGCATAGCACCCAAATGGCTGCAGAGCATGCTTAACACCGCTTCGGGGGGAACCCATCAGAATCAATAGCTAACTGAAGCAGCTGAATATCTATTTTGAGATGGGCTTGTGTGCACATGTACTTGCTACATTGCAACAACAGTAATGCAATACCCCCGTAGATCTACCAGTAAATAAGCACACCCTAACTTGGAGACAGCGAAGAAGCGGAAACCACATGATCGATTAACACCACCACAGGGACGCTCTGTATTTCACTTCCCTACAGTACACGCGGCCACTCGAGCCCCTCCTTAAAACTCTAATTTCACAACACTCGCTTCCTCTGAATTAGGGTATCATTTCTTGGTGTTGTAGACGGTGGGTTTTTATCGTGATCCGGATATCAGGCTGGGCTTTGTTTGTATCATCATTTATTGTTTAAGGAAATGACGATAACACAGGAGAATTTCTAGAGAAGCAAACTCCAAATGTGTCTTCTTCTTTTTAAAGGAAATGACCAAGATTAGTTTGTTCCTCTTGTTGGGTGATTGGCTTGAATTAAATAAGAATCCAACGGCTATGTGCCTTTGCTCATGGTCAAGCTGAATTGAATTATTTGCTCTTTAGTTGATTAAAACAATGTTGTAAATGTTGGCATATTTCACATGCTTTTATACAAAGTAAAAGACAATAAATCTTAATGCAGCTTAAGAGCTGATAGAGATGAGTGTTTCAGATTGGTACAGAATCACCAACAAACTTCTTGAACGTATATACTTTCAAAATATTGCAAACAATAGTTTCTCAGGGAGCTGTGCAGTCACCACAAAAATACCAACAAAGACAACCACATTACCACAGAACATCTTACCTTTTCCCTCTTTCATTTCCAATGAATATGTCCTCAGTGGTACAGATGTAGTGAGTCTGGGCCTCTCCCTGTAACAAAAACACAAAATGAACTTCAACAGGAGAATATCTGAGCAACAAATTGTTGTCTCTTTGTACTAGATTAGGGGACTAAAACGCAATTTTGAAGTGAAAATTGCACAAAAAAATTGCAGAGATATAGATAAACTGGTTTGTAGGAATATCAGTCAGTGGGGTGAGGTTAGGGAAGTGGCCGCTGGTGGAGAGATAAAAGTTGCTCAAGGAGAACAAACAGCTGATCGGAATCAGGTAAGAGCTTGTTGTCTGTTGAAGCAGGCTGGTTCTTGGAATAAGCCCCACATAAACCCAAGAGATTGCAGCAGTTTTTTGTTTGTTTTTATCACATTTTGTTTGTGCTCCAAGGCTTGAATGTTTGTTACTGGAGAGCCTGAAGACACCTAATTCAAACCTGAAGATGTTCTCCTTATGTGCTCTTTTGACTGCGTACGGAATAATCCTCACACAAGTGAACAGGGATCGATACAAGAGGACAACACCTGTGTTAATAAATTAACTACATTGAAATCCAGAAATGTCATACAGTCTTGAAATGGGCTGATATTCTTCCATACTTAATAGTATAGAATAAAGATTTGCTCCGATTAGGACAGTGAGTTGGACAAAACATGTAAGTGAAAGATTCCACTGTTGGCATGTGAGCGGTATTCTGACATGTTACAGTCAAATGTATAGTGGAATAATTTGTTGCAGCCGTACATAGCCCTTTCCGGTAAAATACTTCATACCAACCCTGCCCTCCTCCTCTTTCCATGAGGAAGTTATGTCATACTGTAGCTCAAAAGACTGTGAAGCACAAGAGACAAAAGGGCCTTCCCCCGACACTACAGACAACACATACCAGAACAGCACAATACTTGACTGGCTGTGATTCAGCATAGGGGGCCCTTAAGATGAGAGGGATATGAGTGTGAGATTTAGTGCTGTCAGAAATGCCCTTCTTCACAAACAGCATTGCTGCAAGTCAAACCATGGACCACCGAAATGCAGACAGACCACTTAAAAGAGCTTAGTCACACACTGTAGTGATTAAAGATGAGTCAGGCAGCGGAGAGGACGTCATTCCCGCAAAACCAGGGCATGGGATGGAAGAAATGTTGGTGTTTATTATTATTATATTGGTTCCTTCCTTTCAAAATTCCAGGGAAAGGTGAGGGCTGAGAAGCCAAATACTATGACTGAGCATCAGTGGAAGATAGTCTTGTGTTAACGTAGCTTAGTAAGATGTTGGATAAGACTATGGTAAATTGCATTTATACAGTGATGTTCAAGTCTTTGCGACTCCTTAAAGCGCCAATTTATTACAAATTAAATACATCTTGAGCTATTGTGAGACGTCACCATCACGACTTGTTCTTGCACCATTAACACACGTCGAACAAAGACCTAAAAGCATTATTTTTAGATGTAATGTGTTGGTTTTAGATGGATGAAATACTTGCGAATCCGTCAACAAAGACATAAATTGTGACCCGAAATGACCTTCTTATCCAACCCCCTTTCTCCTACCATCTGATTTACTCAACCACAGACACAATCTCTAAAGAAAATCACAAATGGGTCCCGCTCACAATAGAAAATCCACCTCGAAATGACATAATCCCAGAATTTAATCCATTCGGAGGGGCTCAATCCGCCCCATTTTTAACGCCACGACTGCTTTTATAAAGAAAAGGATTCAAAGGCTATAATCAACGCTTTTATTCCAGACACTTGAGTTAACATTTCACAATAGGAAGGAACTCGACCAGAGCCATGCAAAAACATGTTTCCCTTCTTTCATGACAACTTGTTGACTCATACTGATCAAAACACAAAACAGTCAATCTTATTTAGCCAGCAGCATTTGATTCATACTTGTAGTCCTGTCTCCTTAATATCAACAGAGCGCTCTTTTGGATGAACAAACTGTAGGTCTTACTACTTGGAAACGACATTGGAAAATTGAATTGTAATAGGTGTCGTTAAAAATAGCCAAAGGTTTGTGAGTGCAGCCTCTGCTTCTCTACACATGTGTGTGAATGAGTGAATGCTGACATGTGTATGTAAAAGTGCTTTGAGGCGCAGCAAAGAGCTATATAAATGCAATGAATGTACCATTCACCATTATATGATATCAATGTTCTAATACTATCAGATTAATCAGATTAAAATTTATATTGACTTGCTCTTATGTGTATTCTTCAGTGATGTCATCTATTGTACATATTTACAATGGTATAACAATGTTGTGGTATCTTTATTATTGTTTTAGGATGTATATCACCATCTGGCAAAGGGACTATCGATGAAAACTAGCCTTTTGGCTAATTTGAGTACTTTTACATGTTTTTAATATGTTGATTAATGTACACTGCCCCTTGTTTTAATTAAATCAATTCAATATGTGTGTGTGTGTGTGTGCGTGTGCGTGTGCGTGTGTGTGTGTGTGTGTGTGCGTGTGCGTGTGCGTGTGTGTGCGTGTGTGTGTGTGTGTGTGTGTGTGTGCGTGTGTGTGTGTGTACAGTCTTGGATGACTCAGTAATTTTGTCCTATCACTACTTTAGGAGTCATCTGGTCTTAATCAGATCTAGCCAGGAGAAGTTTTTCGGGTCAGACCTGCCGGTGAGTGTTTGTTGCTGGCTGTATATTGCACGATGCTATAAGACTATGATAAGAACAATATAGCTTTCTTTTATAGCATGATAGTCAGGAATTAGTTTTCTCCCTGAGGACGTTTGATAAACTAGGAATTAAAAGCACGTCTTTTTCCGTGTGGACCTTTTGGATGGGTTTGGTCTAATTTGACCAAACCCATCCAAAAGGTCCACACCAATAGGGAAGTAAAAGGTACATGGGGCTACATGTCTATAAAAGATGTAAAGTGAATTGATGATACCAAATACTACTACTAAAATCCATTAATTGAGTAACGCCTTCAGTTTATCTACATTTTGTTTTTATCAACTAATGACTTCAAGAATTTGTCCAGAATATATGAATAGAGAGAGAGAGAAACGGCTAATAAGAAGAGCCATTTTTTGTCACACTACATACGACTGGATTAACCCATTTAGGGGCCTTAGGGCAAAAAGAGCAATTGGTCCAATAGACACTCACCCTAATCCTAACCCTCATCACCACCTCTCTATACATTGTGTGCCCTTTAAGTAAAAAGATTTATTAAAAACACTTTAAATTACAGGTATTAATACAAGACAGAGAATTGATGATAATGCAGTTAAAGCTCTAGCTAATATTGTTATTGTGAATTCAAGCAATTTCCCAATTGACCAGAAACACAGTGAACACTGTAGTCTAGCTTTTACATTCTGTTCTCTTATCGGGCAGAATGGGCTCTTAAAACAAGAGTACGATAACATTTGCCAGTTGTTTTGAGGCCATGTGTGTTCATCAGATTGGGAAAGTAGACATTACTGCAGATAGCAGATTGTGCCGTTGCAGCTGATACGAAGTTCCCATGAGCTAAATACCTCTAAGCCCTATTAAATGCAACATCTGTGCAGAAAGTGTATCTCTTATGTAGCTGCTGGCTGCTACTGTGACCTTATACAACCCCATGAAACAGCAGTCTGTCTATCCATCTTTATATCCATCCATCTATATATCCATCCATCAATCTTTCTATCTATCTCAAAGATATAACTGCGATTCAAGTGTTCAATTTATCAGAACAATACCACTTTTTCTCTATAATCTAGGTTGGCCACCCAAGGTGAGCTACAGAAAAAACATCTTTTATCGTTTCAACAAAAAGCCTACTGTAAACTTCAGGTGAAAATACAAAGCAGACATGTAGCCCTTCGCGGAGACAGGAATGAGAGACTGCATGATATGTGTGCTTCTACCACAATAAACTACAGATAATAAGGATTTAATGCCCCCTTTTGGATGATATGTTTCATCAGGTTTTAGGTTTGTTGGCAAAACGAATAGCATTTATACTTTTTGACAGTTTAGTGATTTAGCAGAACATAAAGATATTGTAGCTGACCTTCAGCTTTTCAAAAATATGAGCTGGAGAGAGAGACTGAGAAAAACAGCAAAGTGGAGAGCAGGAAGAATAGATATACTTCTGATTAAGAGTGTAAAATCCCATAAAGTGAACACTATTTATTTTAATGATAGAACTATACATATTTGTATTTGTTTTACACATACATGTACATCTTAGGCAAGGAAACACACATTTTATTGTTCAGGTAAATACTCAATGTTTGGATTATTATAGGTTTAAGAGTTGTTATACCTATTGGATTATTAATTTTGACTATAACAATACCTGGCTGACATTGTGTGCCTTCACTGCTCTTATGGTCTTTTTCATTTTCCTGCTGTACCACTGATGATCTTGACACCAAACAAAACAGGCAATCAAAACACTGGCTCTAGCTAATTTACATCACCTGTACACACTGTCTTTGACCATCTGATACACTGCCATAACGCCAGAATTGAAGAACTAATACAAAAAAATAAAGGCCTTTAAAATCACTGTGGTGCAACATAGAGGACTTTGTGTAAGAACAACTGCTCCATATGTAGGCTACATATTAAGGGCTCATTCTAAACTGGGGGGGAAAAAATCCTGGTTTCAAGGGATTATACACTACTGAAAACATTGTTGTGAAATTTGTATTCAAATTATGCTCAATCCCCCCAAAATACCACACACTAGCCTTTTTAAAGAAAACTAAGAGAACATATATTAAGAGAAGAAATCAAAGAGTTGCTGCATGAGGCCAAATGTTTCACTGTTGAATCAGTCTCATTTGGCCATCTGGAGGAAATCTAGTTTAGCCTGTGACATCAAGGTTTACATAATAATGCTCATTCACAACAAAGAGTTGAGTCAACCAAACAAAAATGTTGCAAAACCCTCACAAAAAAATCTAAAAAGGGAAATGTACTAGTGGCAATGGATCAGAAAATCCATTTAATTCTACATTATCTCAAATGCCATTAACATTTCTGTGCCAAGTTTGTACATTCCCAAACCTGTTATGTCAGGTCTTATCAAGCTGACTTACGAAATGACCTTCCTCCCACCAACAAGTTGGATCAAGATTTGCTCTACACTTTAATAGTCTGACTTTATGGTGTGACATGTACTGCCCTGATTCAGCTGGAGCACAGAGCAAGAGAGTAAGGACGTTATGAAAAGGTGTAGTATTGAGCCACCATGCTTAACATTTTGGTTTTCTTCTTCTGGTCTACAGGTTAACCGCTCTTACATAAAGTATTGGGTTTCTATTCTTCTTTTTTGAAATACTGAAGGATCCTGGGAGATTGTGTCCATGGCTCAGTTGCCATGGGAGAAGTCCCAACAGAACTGGAAGGTTTTAAGTATCCCACCTGAGGACACTGAGGCTGAGAGATGTAAATGGAACAATAAAAAACCCTTCATAATATCCCTTCTAAGTTGTTGTCATGTAATGCTTTTGTTGACACTAAACAAAATTAAACAAGTGGCTTTAGTTCTTGCAAAACTAACATGCAAGAACTGATTCTGTTACCTAAAATGAATGTAGATAGGGAGAGAAGTGTGTTCAAATAAAGTCAGACTGCAACCAAACTGATTCAAGGACGAGTGCTTCCCAGCAGTGGCTGCTGCAGGGAACAGAGGGTAATGTTATGATAGCAGATGTCAAGCCCCATTAATGCAAAACATCACAGGTAACATGGGTTTGCAGCAATAAACAACACACAGAACTGATGCTTCAAAACTATCTACATTTCCTGTCTCGTGTTTTTTTACAGTAACTTAAATTCGACTTCAACTCAGATTCTATATCACAGATGACAGGGAAGGTAATTACCGTCTCTGGATAAATCAATTCAAGAACATGTATCATTATCTTTCACAAATGCAGTAGTCTTTTTAAGCCCAGTCTTCTATCTGTCTATCCATACATACGCACAAAGCCAGACACACACTGACAACAATTTGGAAATCAAATCTCGTGTCAAGCCAGTCAAATTAAATCTAATATCTGGAGGCGTGTGGTGCAGTGGGTTGAGCGTTTGTGTTCGGATCAGGGGGTCACAGGTCCAAACCCTACTACAGTCATCATGTCGTTGTGTCCCTGGGCAAGACACTTCACCCCAAATTGCCCCTGTGGGTATTGCCCACAGTATTGAGTATGTAAATCGCTTTGGATAAAAGCGTCTAACAAGTAACCAATGTAATCTAATGTAATCTTGTGATCAAGTGAGGCCACTTACATCAGATCGGTGGTCCCATGTCGCATGTAGACAAACTCCAAACACACGTTAGATCGAAAGGGTCTTACTTACCAGCAGCGCTGCCCGACAGATGAGCTTTAATCCGTGGAGCGAGCCTGTTGTACTGTACAATGATTTAGGAACAAATTCACGTTGCGTTTGATGACACGCTGCCTGGGAAATCGAGAGATATACCCAGCTTGCAGCGCGCACACAAACCCGGGTAGAAGTTGTGACAGGATGTGGAAATCAAAGTTCATCCCTCGACACCAGTTAGAGGAACCATGGCGTAGTTTTCAGTTGATCTGAGTAGCATGAACTCCGCAGGCACATATAGCGGTTTGCTCTCTCTCTCTGTTACAGCGCGTTCCCTTTTCTCTCAAAGCATGGACGCATGCGCATGTGGGTACGCGCACTGTGGAGAGCAAATCCAAATGCCATTCCCTGAACAAATGTACAAGCTGCAACCTGACTGTACTGGCGTTGGACATGAAGAAACACAGATTTCACATTCGATGTGATACCCGGTGTGTTTTGACTATTGTCCCCATCAAGCCTCATCAAACCGATTTAAACTGGACTTAATTACCAGAGGGAACAACATCTGGAAAAACGTTGTTGTTGCCTGTGTTTTGTTAAACCTTTACATTAAACAGATAGCAGAGTGACCAGTACTTAATTATTGTATGAGTCCTTTATGTTTTTAACACAGTATTCATCATCATCATTAATTCGTTTTATTTACAATCTGAATCTGCAAATTAGGTGCCCGCTATAGTTGTCAAATAATTAGAGTGAAAAATAGAAATGTAATTAACTACAGCACATGTTATACTTTAGAAAATGTATTTCCACTACTGGTGACAAGATTAAATTAAATATACCATCCTGTGTTTGAAAACAATCAAATCAAGCTTTTATTGACATGTTTTCTGGAACCTCTGTTAAATTTTAACTTGGAATAGATTTTAATCATTCCCTTATAGATCGCTGCTGCTCATGTTGAGTTAAAGTGAACTTTAAACACAAATGTTGATGCTTTGTTAAACCAAATGTTCCCTAGCCGGTTGAGCAGTAGATGTCCTCACACACGTTTCACAACACTCCTTTGCATGCTTTTTCCTCAACTGATGCAGTGTATATATAAGCATTTGTATTTATTGGGATAAACCCCTTGAGATGCACCATATCGTTTTCAAGGGGGTCCCGACAATAGCAGCAACTTACAGACATACATAAACAAAAAGACAAAAACCAAAACATGTCTATTAAGTACAATTCAAGTAATACATACAATCATTACAATTTGAGAGACAGTCGAGCATATCAGTTTCATCAATACCAGTTTCATCAATAACAAGTGCAGACAAGTTGATGATAATGCATGTTTAAACATACCCAATGATGGAAGAGATATGAGTGTGTTGTCTCTATTCAACAAATGTGTGCCTATTAGGAAGGGAGAAGTTAGTAGCACTATGACTTCTCAGCATCTTCAAGCCCCTTTTGCATGCCTAAGAACCTATACATTCAGAACCAATGTTGGTAGTTGATGGTGTGGTCAGAGTGGGCCTTTAGCATTTGTCCGGCACTTTTAAATGTAAAACTGGTTGATAAAATAAGAAATATGCATTTGTTTGTGTTGGCACCCACAGGTAAGCAGTAATGTGTTGTAAGAACCAAAGTTCCTCTCTAATGATTGATCCAGGCAGATCCAGACACATCCAAATACCATGGCTGCAGAAATGCACACTGCCTGTGGGTCTGGAACTAAATTGCCGAGGTTAATGAACTTTTTTCTATGTCAGTGATCTTCTGCTACTTTGCTTTATCTCTTCTCGATCGTACACTTCTCCCAGAGGCACCGACATCTGGAGAGGATTGTTTTTGTTGGCTGTCATTTTGTAAATCTCTGTAAATTTAGGAGATAACAAACTGAAACTCAGGGAGATATTCAGTGAGCTTTTAACAGGCTTATATAGATGATACCTTTACTAGAAATGTGTTAACAATAACCAGATCTTTTTATTAGTCCATGTATCATATAATACGAAATAATTTAATGAAGAAGGCTTTTTCTTTTTCAGGTCATTATAAAAGCAAAACAATTCATTCCTTTTTTAACACTGATTATGTTTTCTTTGGCAACTATTGAATTAGTTTGTAAATGAACGCTCTCTCCTCTAATTTATCAGCTGGCAAACAAATATCTTTGCACAAAAGTAAACCTAAAGATTACATGTCAAGCAAATATTTGCCGGGACAATGTCGGCGTTGTGTAAATAATCTGAGTGAGCCTGCATGCATCAGTCCTTCACAAGCCTGCATCATTTCATTATTCAGTTATGGTTCATGTCAGACTCAGCATAGAATGGGTGCTGTTCATTCTGTCTGTACTGAATAGAGAAATCTTCTTTTATAATGTGATTACAACTTTTGTGCTGTTGTATTTGACTTCCAGCCTCCTGATGTCTCATTTCATGGCCTACATTCACTAACCAAATGAAATATTTGGATCTCCTGCTTTCCTTTAATTAGCCCAGCTGGTGCTTTCCCATAGCACGGCAAGCTGAATTTTCTCACCACAGATGAAAAGAAATATCCAGGTCAGAGTATACGCCCATCAGAGACCACCATGACTGAGAGCTGAGAGCTTTTCCATACTGTTGGTGGTCCAAAGCAAATCATCTTGCCATCCTGAGGTTTTTGAAATGGTTCCTCCCTTTTATTTTTTGCTTCATGCTAAAAGTGCTGCGATGCTGACATATAGCATGACTGTTGACAGGCTTTCCGAAGATGATATGGTTTTGGAGTTAGACCTGAGATCAGAAGTCCATGTGGGTATTGTGGGGTAAACCTCTGAAGCAATGGAGAGTCAGGACTCAGAAAGACACGAGGAGAGCTGGAGCTTTGATGGCAAACACTGACGGTTTATTTGAAGCTTCAGCCGGAGAATTCACAAGACATGTCACGGGCCACGGTTTGACCACACGGTTGAGATAGCACAATCAATTCTGAAGAACCCTCCTGTAGCTCAAGGTTTTAAGTAGTTCAGAGTGTAATAATCAACATTCTTCAATACATAGACTAAACAGCTGAGGACACTGAATCACAGTTGTTGTCGCTTATGGCTCGGGGTCATCTACACCTCGAGAAGGATGTGTTCCAGGTGTCCCACAACAATAACTATCTCTCACCGAGAGTTGCCCGGTCATAAACTGGCAACATCAACAATATGAGAGGGCAGCCCCTCCTTATGGGAGATAACGGCTGCTCAAGGCTGGTCAGCTGCGTCAGAGGGCGAAGGAGGAGCGAAATTATTCCCCAACAGGTATAATATGTCATAATAGGGAAACTTTGTCCTAGTTTGGCTTTGATCAGTCACAGGTTAAATGTTATTCAAAGTGGGTTTAAGGTGAATTTGTAAAGAAAATACTTGCAACATATTTGAATGCAACACAAGCCAATACACCTGCCAGTCGCCCAGAAGACATACAACATTTGATTAAAAAAGCAAGTATATTGTCAATAAACTACATTACTTTTATAAATCAGCTTTTCTTCAATGTAACTTAATGGGAAAAATCCGTTTTTTTCCCCCCCCAAAAAAAAATGCAACTCCTAATTCTAACTTTAAACTTTTACAACATTGTTACGTCTCCACTAAGGTCTAGGGGACCTGGAGACAATAACACACAACAACCAATAATTATGAGGGAGTCAGAGTAAAGGTTGACAAAAGGTTTATTACTTGTAAACCTAACTGAACAAAACAGAAATACTCTTTGTGTGAGGAGGAGGAGGAGGAGGAGTCAATGGAGATTGTGCCAAACAAAAGAAACAAGCATAACAAAACCAAGCCTATCTCTACATCTATCCTTTGAAACCAAAACTCAAACAAAAACCTCACTAACTAAACTACTCAGAGCTGGAAAAAACTATTGACTAGCTCTCCAACACATTGTACGTGATAGGCTAAGGGGCGGGACATCTCTAAGCAGTTCACTAATCACAACAGAGCCGGCCAGCTAACCAATCAGAGCAGACTGGGCTCTGGTTTCAGACAGAGAGCAGGGGCCCTTTCTCATTTCATCAAATCCCCCTCCTCGACTCCTCGACTCCTCGGTCCTCCGGTAGTGACCCGGAAATGAATTTCAGCGCGCCATGTTGAAGGACATCTCATTTCTCTAAATGCACTTCGAGGACCGAGGATCGAGCGTCGAGGAGGCTCTCTGGAGGAGCTATAACCGAGGATACACTGATGGGTCCTCCACGGTCCTCCACGGCTCCTTCGTGGATGCATTTCCGGGAACAGAGATGTTTCAAAGAGTCGTGACGCACAGACGGACTTATCTCTTATCTCAGCCAATGACAGCTCTGCATGCATCCCCTGGATATTATTTTATTAACTGCTTTCATCGTGACGCGATGTTTACAGTGAGAACAGCTGTGAGGTCCGTGCAGAAAGCAGAGCAGTGTGTGTAATATCACTCAGTATAACAGGCCTACTCTCTTTATTTGCTGTAGTTTAGTGTCTACAAACAAAGAGTCGATATTTTATATATCCAGTCTCTGATTGTGTTACGTTATTATGAGAGTGCTCTGTTTGATTCTGAAATGTTATATATATTTATATAAATAGTATATACATATATATATATGTGTGTGTGTGTGTGTGTGTGTGTGTCCGCATCTGTAGCCTGTTATTGTCTCATTATTCCGCACTGTGAATTAATTAATTAAGTAAATATATAAGTGGTCATGAACCATCTGTCCATCAGACAGAGGGCTGCTGTGCCTCCTGTCATCATTAATGGACGTCTCTTTAAAATGACCGCTCAGAGGAGAGGAGTTCTCATTTCTCTAACCGCCTGCTGCTTCCCCTCCTCTCTCCTCGGCTCCCCTCCACGGCTCCTCCGCTCGCATCTCCTGTGGGCGGGACTAAGTATCGAGGATAGGAGTCGAGGAGGGGAGTTAGAGAAATGACAAAGGGCCAGGGAGAAGAGAGAAAACACAGGAGGGAAGGAAAACCACACAAGTACAGCCTGCCTGGCACGTAACAACATTTATGTATTGAAATTGTATTCAGCTTTTTGATATTACAGTTTTTTAACTATTACAGTTTATATTTCAGGAAATGTTCCAAGCATTTCAGATGTTTATTATGGGTGTGTAGGACTGGATGTTCAGAGCTACTGCCAAAGTAGAGAAGAGGTTTCAAAACCTCTGAAAAATATTAGTTTAAACCTGCTGATCCCAAAGTTCTCACATTATGTCATACATAATTTTAGGAAATAGAGGTAGGAAAAAGTGTGCCGGCTACCCGTGTGACTTTTGGCTTTACAAATCTCGTCAAAAATTGTTTTCAATATCTCTTTCAGTTTTTAACATGAGGTAGTTTTGAAAGGTGCCACAAATACTGTTTCACATAGTGATTAGCTAATTAGCGCAATTTGACACACATAAAACCCAATGGATGTTTTTAGCCTTTTCTATTCTCGGTTATATACTTTAATTATGTGTGTGTGTG